AGCTCCGAGCTGGCTGGAGAGGACCCCTGGGGGAACCCGAGGCGGCCTCAGAAAGACCCGGCCCAAGAGAGCCCCGAGGGGCCGCCAAGACTGCCCCACAGGAGCCCAAGGCAGCCCCAAGACAGCCCAGACAAGCCCAACGAGAGCTCCTGACAGAGCGGAAGCGACGAGGTGCAACCTGTGACGGCCTTTTTGTGGTGACATTGGGTCGCTACGCGGGGTACTTTGCTAGCACGCTGGCGGACTCGTCGCAGGCACCTGGATAATGTAGTGAGCGATTCGAGACACGAGCTCGAATAAAAACACCTCTGTCTGGCTAGCGTCCACCAGCTGCTGGACACCCTTCTTCTTGTAAGAGACTGGGGCCTGTAGGCCCTTGGTGTCGATGACTAAGAACCGCATCTGCGGCACGTACACTAGGCTCAAGCCTGACGTCTCATGCAGCTTACCAGATGGCAGATTCTTGCCGTACAGCTGGTTGATCAAGAATGTCTTCCCCTTGTCGAACAACCCCATGTGCGCCACGATGCGCATTCCCTCCATCTGGGCCTTCCCGATCTCGAACGCCGACTGCGCCCACTTCAGGATGCTGATCTTCAGATTCTCGGAGTCTATCGTGGACGACAGCGAGTCGAAGCAGACGATCGTGTCGTAGGGGTCGTGCGCCCCGCACCAGAGACCGCGCCGCCGCCGCCGCCGCGCGGCGTGTATGCGCCACTGGGCCTGGATCCTCGCCGCCGCCCAGTGGCTACGCTCCAGCTGCGCAGCGCCCCCCTGGGCGGCCTGCGACGTGGCGATGGTCGGAAGGCAAGAAGAAGCCGCATTAACACACAGGCTGCCTGAGGCTCGGCCGGGCTGCTTCGGGTCGGCGCCGAGCCCCCCCCCCCTCCCTGGCGCGCGTAGCGCCAGGGGGGCCCAGCGCCGATCCGAGAGCTCCGCCCGGAGCTCCGAGGGTCTCTGCTCACGCGGCTGCTTCCTCCTTCGGATGGTCGCCTCCAGCAGCGCCGCCAGCTCCGCGCGGTTGCGCTCGGTGGCCTGGAGCCGTGTCCCATAACGGTTCGCTATCCTGCCAATGCACCGGCCCCGCCCCCCCCCCCACCCCCGCCCGGTCACGTCACGATTCGCGCCTGGGCCGCGGGGGAAGGTCGCCCATCCGAAGATGTTCCTGGGCGGCGGCGGCGCGGATCGCGACGCGACGGGTCTCCGCCTCCCCTCCCCCCCCTGTTTATCGCCAGGGGATTCAAAAAAAATTGGCTCCTGGAGCTCCATCTGCATAGCCTGCAGCTCCATCTCCGCGGCGCGCAGGCTGTCCAGCGCCCGCGACCGCTCGGCCTCGGCGCCGGCCCGCGCCCTCGCCTCGGTGACCTGGATGGTCTTCGACACCAGGCTGCGGACCTCGGGTTGGGTCGGAGGCTCGAGGTGGGTCCTGAAAACGACAGCGTTGCTTCTTTACCGGCTCCGCTCTGCAATTTGTTTGCCGGTCCTGGCGCCGCTGTTTCCCCAGGTCCGTCGCCATGTTCTTACCGGTGTCCGTTTAAGCTCCAATCCCAGAGCTGTTGTGTTGCCGGTTCTGGTCGCTTTTGTTTTCCGCCTGCAAGAGACATTTTTTCGGAAGCAATGGAAAACTGCCATGCCGTTTCTGGGGCCATCTAAGGTTGGAGGCTCGCACCGCTTGGGCGACGAGAAAAACTCCATAAACAGAAATTCACCAGCCCCGAGTTCTCCGAGTTTATCCCTATCCATAGGATGGGGAAGCCAAAAAGCGATGAACATCTCAGGGATGCGCCACCAGAAAATGAGGGAATTCTTAAGATCGGCAACGAGATAAGGTGATGCCCGTCATGGGGACAGGAATATGCTCCAAGCTGGTACATTAACAGAAAACTTTCGATGGCCCGCGCTGACCTCTCGGATCGGCGCTGGACCACCATGGCGGCGCCGTTGGCGCCGCCAATGTTGCGCTCCACCAGCAAGGTAGGGGGGTCCAGCGCCGATCCAAGAAATCCGTGTACCTCCGAAGGTGTATGATTACGCCGCTTTTCTCTTCTCATTGTTAACATGGCTCGTATTAAGTGTCTTCTTACTAATATGCGTATTATTGATACTGCTTGTTTCCTGAATTCGTATTAGGTTGCTTTTTGTCGCTACGGTTATTCGCATTACGATTAGCACTGCAATTGCGAAGGTCTTCTTTTGATCGGTATATTCGCGTGATGCTTATTACTGCTACTTATTCCTTGTGACTACCAAATCGGTCGGAAGAGGTAGGTAGAAACATGAAGTAGGCACGCGTTGGAAGCAGAATGAGCCTCAGCCCGCCCCCTGCAGAGGAAGGGGCGCCGGAAGTGCATCGGGGCCCCACACTCCAAGAGTGCCCACGTTCGACGACCGACGGGCAGCGCTGTTCTCACTCGAAGACCTGGTCCCGCACCGCGCCACTCGAGGGCTGCAGGAAGGGGCCCAGGGCCTGCATGAGGAACGCCGCCGGGTCGCCCGCCATGCTCTCCGTGCTCCACGCGCGCGCGCCGGGCGGGCCCGCGGCGGGGGCTCCCGCGGCGTCCTCCTGGCGCACGGGCCTCGTGGGCGACAGCTTGTACGACCTGGGAGGCCAGGGCACGGCAGAGCCCGAGGCTGCCTGCGGTCCACACGGAGCCCTCGGGTCGGCGCCTGGTGAGGTGACCCGGGGAGGCACCGAGCATCGTGCTGACCGATCCCCTCATCCCCAGCGGCGTGGCCAGGGCCCCACTGGCCGATCTGCCCCCCTGGATGGGGATGGAGGTCGTTCCCTGCGGGTTTCGAGGGGTGTATGCCCAACTGCGGTGGTAATTTGGTGGGGGTCTCGAAGGGGATGGGGATGGGGATGGGGCTCGGTTAAAGGATACCGAGGCACAAGCTTCCAGTCGGGCGTGTCCCCCTACAGGGGGATTTGGGCGAAAAAGAACAAATACCCAAAACATGCCCCCCAAATGCTCAAAAATAGTCCAAAAAAAGTCCCCCTGTAGAGGGACAGGCCCGACTTAATTCCAAGAAGCCTTCCCCCCTCCCCCTGGTTGCCCTCCCTCTGCGCGTGGCCGACCCGCCCTCGCTCCCCCCCCTTCGGGGGCAGAGGAGGGGAAGGGGAGGAGGGTGAGCAGAGAGGTCCTTCATCTCTTCCCTCTCCCCTCTCCTCTCCCCTGCTGCTCCTCCTCCTCCTCCTCCTCCTCCTCCTCCTCCTCCTCCTCCTCCTCCTCCTCCTCCTCCTCCTCCTTCTCCTCCTCCTCCTCCTCCTCCTCCTCCCCTCCTCCTCCTCTCCTCCTCCTCCTCCTCCTCCTCCTCCTCCCTCCCTCCCTCCTCCCTCCCTCCCTCCCTCCCTCCCTCCCTCCCTCCCTCCTCCCTCCCCTCCCTCCCTCCCTCCCTCCCTCCTCCCTCCCTCCCCCTCCCCTCCCTCCCTCCTCCGCCTCCTCCTCTCCTCCTCCTCCTCCTCCTCCTCCTCCTCCCTCCTCCTCATCCTCCAACCTCCTCCTCCTCCTCCTCCTCCTCCTCCTCCTCCTCCTCCTCCTCCTCCTCCTCCTCCTCCTCCTCCTCCTCCTCCTCCTCCTTCTCCTGGTGGCCCCTGGGGCCCTCCCTCGGGGCGAGCTCTCTCCATATCCCGAGCCCTTTTCTCTGACCGCCCCGAGGGCCCGAGAACGGCGACAAGCCATGGGGGAGCAGCAGTAGGAGGAGGAGGAGTAGGAGAAGGAGGAGGAGGAGGAGGGGGAGGAGCAGGGGGAGGAGCAGGAGGAGGAGGAGGAGGACGAGGAGGAGCAGGGGGAGGAGGAGGAGGAGGAGGAGGAGGAGGAGGAGGAGGAGGAGGCGTTTCCCTCAGGACCCGCTTCCCCCATGGCGAGTTTCCCCTCCTGAGCTGGCCGCCTCTCCCCACGCCCCTCAGGGCGCCTCCGGCGCCGACGCCTGGAGGCGCGGGCGCGGGCAGGGGGGGAGGCCCCAGCGCCGACCCGAGCAGTCCGCGCGGGCGTCGGCACTCGTGCTCGTGCTGTGCGGCTCGTCTCCACGGACCGCGTGCTGGCGTCGGTCTGCACGGGGCTGCCGAGCAGCGCCTCCGCCCAAGCGGGCCGCGAGAGCTCCACGCTGGCAGCGAGAGGGGCCCTGGACAGGGAGGAGGGCTGCGTCATTGCCAGGCCCCTCCCGCCTGGTGGCCTCGGGACTGCCAGCCGGGCCGCCTGAGCCGAAGAGCGACAGAGGGAAAACTGGAAAGAGGAAACAAAGAGGAGGGAGGAGCGATGAGGGAGAAGACACAAAGGATACAGGCGTAAGGAGGCATCGCACTTCTCGAGCGAGGCCAGGCCGACGAAACAAGAGCGAGGGGACAGATGACCACCCCAACTGTACTCGGCGTCACGCAACTAAGAACGACAAATCTCCCATACTCGCACTCCGACTAACAATCGGACACCTGCTCACTCGCCGAACCAACATCACAACCGCCACCACACCATCATAACCACCACCACCACTATCATCACCATCATCATCACCACCACCACCACTACCGTCATCGTCATCATCATCATCATCATCATCAGCAGCAGCAGCACCACCACCACCAGCATCATCATCATCATCATCATCACCATCAGCATCATCATCAGAATCACAATTATCATCACAATGATCATCATCAGCATCAGTATCACCATCATCAACACGACCACCACCTTCATCATCATCACCATCAGTATCATTATCATCAGCATCATCATCAGCATCATCGGCATCATCATCATCATCATCATCAGAATCAGAATCGGCATCATCATCATCATCATCATCATCATCATCATCAGCATCATCGCCATCATCATCATCATCATCATCATCAGAATCAGCATCATCAGCATCATCAACAACAAGTCATAACCATTATCATCAGCATTATCAGAATAATCATCATCACCATCATCATCAGCACCATCATCATCACCATCTTCATCCTCCTTCTTCCCCTCATCATCACGATCTTGATCATCATCAGCAGCATCATCATCACCATCATCACCGTCGTCAGCATCATCTCCATCATCATCAGCAGCATACTCGTCGTCATCATCATCAGCATCATCATCATCAGTATCATCAGCAAAAGCATCATCATCAGCATTATCAGCAACAGCATCATCATCAGCATCACCAGTAACATCATCATCATCACCACCATCATCAGCATCATAATCATCATCATCAGCGGCATCATCATCAGCATCAGCATCAGCATCATCATTAGCATTATCATCATCACCATCATCACCATCATCACCATCGTCACCATCATCATCACCATCATCATCATCATCATCATCATCATCATCGTCTTCATCATCATCAGCATCAGCATCAACATCATCATCAGCATCATCATCATCAGCATCAGCATTATCATCAGCAGCAGCAGCAGTATCATCATCGGCATCAACAACAACATCATCTTCAACAGCATCATCAGCTGCATCATCATCATCAGCATCAGCATCACCAGTAGCATCACCATCATCGTCAGCATTCGCATCATCATCATCATCATCATCATCATCATCATCATCATCATCAGTATCACCTTCATCATCATCAGCATCATCATCATCACCAGCATCCTTATCATCATCATCGTCATCATCATCACCATCAGTATCATCAGCATCATCAGCACCATCGCCATCATTATTATCATCAGTATGATCATCGTCATCATCATCATCATCTTGATCAGCATCAGCATCATCATCATCGTCAGCATCATCAACGACAGCATCATCATCAGTATCAGCATCATCACTTGCATCATCACCATCATCATCAGCATCACCAGTATCATCCCCATCATCACCACCATCGACACCAGCATCATCATCATCATCAGCATCAGCATCATCATCAGCATCATCATCATCAGCAACACCACCATCATCAGCATCATCATCGTAATCTTCATCAGCATCAGCATCAGCATCATAATCAGCATCAGCATCATCGAGAGCATCATCATCATCATCATCATCATCATCATCATCATCCTCATCATCATCAGCATCATCATCAGCATCATCAGCATCAACATCATCATCGTCATCATCATCAGCATCATCAGCATCATTAGCATCAGCATCATCTTCATCAGCAGCAACAGCACCATCATCAGCATTATCAGCAACAGCATTATCATCCTCATCAGCATCATCATCAGAGGCATCATCATCAGCAGCATCACCAGGATTATCATCATCACCATCATAACCATCATCAGCATCATTAGCTTCATCATCAGCATCAACATCATCACCATCATCACCATCATCACCATCATAATCATCAGCATCAGCAGCAGCATCATCATAATCATCATCAGCATCATGAGCAACAGCATCATCACTATCATCATCAGCATCAGCATCATCATCAGCATCAGCATCATCATCATCAGCAGCCGCATCATCACCATCATCGTCATCAGCATCAGCATCAGCATCAGCATCATAATCATCATCATCATCATCATCATCATCATCATCATCATCAGAATCAGCATCATCATCAGCATAATCATCATCACCATCATCGTCATCATCAGCATCAGCATCAGCATCATCATCATCAGCATCGGCATCAGCATCAGCATCATCCTCAGCATCAGCATCATCATCAGCATCAGCATCATCATCAGCAGCATCATCATCACCATCATCGTCATCATCACCATCATCATCAGCATCATCATCACCAGCATCATCAACAACAGCAGCGTCATCAGCATCATCAGCAGCATCATCAGCATCACCAGTATCATCATCGTCACCGTCACCATCATCATCATCATCATCATCATCATCATCATCATCATCAGCAGCATCATCAGCATCACCATCATCTTCAGCATCACCACACCCATCCTCATCATCGTCGTCCGTAGTCACTTTGGCTTAAGCTGCCCGGTGCTCCCAGCCAAAAAGCACTGCTGGACCCCACCGCGCAGCCTCCCCGCTGCACCGTCCTCCGCTGCGGGCGCCAGTCCTCGAGAGGGCGGTGGGAGGCAACCCGAGTGTTTGCGGCGCGCACAAGGGGGAGAAAGGGGGAGAAGGGGGAGGAAGGGGGGAGGGGGAGGCCCAGACCTCCACGGTCCAGGTTCGAGGACCGAGGTCGTTGGATGCTGTTTGGCGTCACTGGAAACCCTGGGGCGCCTTCGTGGCCGCGGGTGGACGCAGCTTGGAAATCTGGCCAGGGCGATGTTCGGCGATGGTCCAAGCAGCGGATGCAGGCTTCTTGGAAGGAGGCTGCTTCTTACAGGCGCCGGCCCTACACCTGGAGAGAAATGAAGGCCAATGCCTTCTAACAGGCAGCCACCTTCTGAGAAGCCTTCCCACCTCACAATACCCCCCTGTGCGCGCCGCCAGGAGTGCGCGGCAGTCCACGGGTGAGGGGGAACGTTGGCGGGGGCCGGCTCACGGGGGGGCAACAGTAACCTGGAGTCGGTGA